CACAGTCTGGGGGGTTCAGAGAAGGTAGCATAGAATGGGAAACCATGTTGTTCACACTGAAAGACATGCAACCCATTCATGCGTATGAGTGGCCACAGCTGTTCTGGCCTCCACGTGGGAAGGCGCCAAAGACTGTGGAGACCGGCTAGCAGGTTGGCTCACTATCATAACGTAATGGTTTTACTGATTTGGGCTGAAATAACCCAAATCCTGAGAATTTAATTATTGTCATCAAGATCTCAGTAAGCCTAGGTATTTTGACAGGTTCTGAATAGGAGATGGGGCGGTGGAGACATATGAATTGAACAATTACTCTTTCTTTGTCCATACAACGTGTATCTTAAAAAAAAAACGGTTAGAAACAAGGAACCCGTGACCCTTTGGCCATCTCTCCCCTTAGAAAACATGCCTCCCAAAAGACTCTGCTCCTTCTGTTTTCTGGTGTTTCTGTTGAAACAGGGTCCCACTCAGCAGTTCAGGCTGAACCTGCACTTGCAGAAACCCTCCTGTCTCAACATCCCCAGCTTGAATTACATTTGAGTACCACAATAACTAGCTCTAAAAACCAATCCTCAACAAAATATAATGGGATGTCCTTATGTAACTCGTTCTCATTCTAAGGAAACTTACTTGTACGTATTAATAATTTTTATGGAACTCTTATTTTGAAACAAACAAACAAACAAAAATCAAAGAAAATTTGGCATTTTACTATCTCCAGAAGAGGAGATACATCCCAGAGTCAGAATGACACAGTTAAAGGGAATGATACCGCAAGGAAGAGGCCGGCTCTGCCTCGCTCTTGGGGTTTCCTTCTCTGTCCTCCCCACCCCACCCACAAACATCTACTGTGCAGTCCAGGTCCTAACAGCAGAGAAAAAAAAAAAAAACAAGCTGCTATACCAGAACAGTCCACAAGACGGCGCTCATTGCTAGGAAGAGTGCCTCCTTCACATACACCCTGAACTTAAAACTGACTTTTTATCATGAAACCTCTTAGAAAGGAACAAACCTTTGAAGTAGCTCTAAAGGAAATTTTAATGTCATACATTAACAATTAATGTTTCCAGAAAGTGAAGGCCTCTTCAGTAAAAATCAGTCATATGATTATTAGTTGAAGGGGCTATGCAAACATGTAATTTAAATTTCATAACAAACTTAAATTAGAAAATGAAAAAAATAAAAATAACCATAGATTAAATTTTTAACTGAAACTGATATTTAATTTAATCCGACATGTCTAAAATATTTACATTTCTACATGCAGTCGGTGTAAAATTAACAGCAAAGCTTTTCTGATTCCTTAGTGTGATTCTGCCTTCCGCTTCACACCTGCACATCCCAGCTGCTCAGCAGCAGGCGCCATGCCTGATGACACTTCCCCCAACAGTGCACACCTGCAGAGTCGACCCATATCACTCAACACCAAAGCTAACACCTGACCGCTAAGCAGACATCCAGCCTGTATTTCTTAGATCACATAAAACATGCCTGCAGAAATGTAAACAGACTTTTCCTGCCTGCAAGGCAGGGCAAGCGCGTGATGTTTCCTGTACGCAAAGCAGATGAAAACAACCCTCTTCACCTCTATAATCTTTTAATTGAATAACAGCCTACAAGATAAATCCTGGCCCTGTATAATTACAGCTGTCTTATTGACATTGTCTAGCATAAAATACATAATGGGAAAGTGTAACAGAGCAAAACCTGCAAGCTCTCCGATAGAAGGAGAACAGTAAATGTCATGTGTATAATAAAATAAACAAGCATTAAAGAGTGGGTTTAGCAAGCTTTTCCTCACATTAGGGATCTTACACTTCTCCACTGAACCGCTTACACAGCTAGAGTTTTCTGAATCATAGACACAAAACATGCACACAAATGCACAACACAAGAGGTTGCTCGTTGATACAAAAGAATTACTAAAACTGTGAAGGGTAGCTATCTTTTTGTTTTTGAGACAGGGCTTTTCCTGTATAGCCCTGGCTGTCCTAGAACTGATGCTGTAGACCAAGCTGGCCTTAAACTCAGAGATCTGCCTGCCTCTCCCTCTGCCTCTGTCTCACGAATGCTGGGATTAAAGGCGTGCAAGGGTAGCTATCTTATTCAGATATAAGGTCCTGAAAGTACTGACTTGATTTTTCTGGTGCGAGAACAAGTTCGGAAGAAAGCCTTGCTTCTTTTACAAGCCATGTTGGTGAGAGCAGGGAAATGCAATCGCTTTGCCAAAGTGCAGCACCACCACGGAGCTCCCGCTGGAAGACACTGTGTCTGAGTCTGCAGACAAATCTTCAGGGATCCCGCACCCAGACTCGGGGCACCATGCTAAGTGATGCTGAGAAAAGTCTTCGTGTCAGGCGGAGCGTGCAGACTGCACCCAGAGGAGTAACACTTACAATTCCTTATGACCCCTAAATATCTGCAAACCCCACATCCCACAAAATAGTTTTGAAACTAGATTCCAGATAAGGGGCAAGCTGGTTTCCTTTCTGCGCATGCAAAACAAAACATAAAATTTCAAGTTACTTACAAACAAAAGTTATTCAAATTCTCTAATCCTATGACAGAGGTTTATACCACAGCATTCAAGTAATAAAATGTTATTCAAGAAGTTACAAAAATTAATTTTTAAAAAGGCATACTGATTGGGACCAACAGGAGAGACCAGTGTGGAAAGGTGTTTGCTGCCAAACTAGAAAATGTAAATTCAATCCCTGGGACCTACATAGTAGAAGAGAATGGATTCCCACAAATTATCCGCTGAACTCTACATACGGACTGTAGTGCGTGCATGCGTGCACACACCACACACACACACACACACACACACACACACACACAGGTGCACACACATAAATAATTTTAAAAATAAGGTGAGTTTTTCATATTTATAATTTATGGGAGCCTGAACTCAAGCCTAAGTATCTGATCTTCAGTTTGGAGACCTGAGGACAGGCCCTGGTACTTCATTTTATAGATGAGAAAACGGCTTTCATACTAAAACGTGACGAAATGAGGAAGTGCAGAAAATGCTACAGACACACGCTGGTGATTTGAAGGGGGCTTCGATTTTACTCTTACACATGGTACATCCTGTGACCCAATGCAAACAGGTTTCTTTCCTATGGCCCATGGGATAACCATGACAGTGTTCTAGCGGCAGTGAAGTGAGCCTCCCAGGGGCCCAGCAGGGCTTCTGTAGCAACGTGGCTCTGTATGCCAGAGCTCTCAATTATTCACGATAATCCTGAAAGGTTGGGGGTAGCCACTGCCAAGGCAGAAGAAACTAATTAGCATTTCCCTGGGTTAGATAAATCTGGGTTAGAGTAAACTGAGCCGGTGCATAAATTATACAATGATAAAATCTACAGGAAGGAGCCCAGGCTCCTTAAGATACAAGGTAGGACAACAGAATGATCAGGAGTTTGAACTCGCAACGTCAGAGCCAAAGTGAGGAAGCCCTGTGAGGGGCACCTCTCCCTGTTTAACCTGCACACACTGAGAACTTCTGCCGTCAACAGGAGAATTCCTTGTGTTTGCTCCTTAGGAACGGGGTCTGCCCTGAGTGACTTGGAGATCACGCTAACCAGGCAGGCACAGGGGCCTGGATTCTTACTCTGACAGGGTGACTGAGGGGTTGACCCCACAGCAGACTACAGCAAAGGCCACGCTGGGAACTGGTGACCCTAAGGGACACTGTTGAGCATGTTCGTGTTCTAGGCTCTGCCCCCAAATTGGAGTATTTGACCTTTCAGCAGGCAGATCAGTCCAAGCAACGTTACAGTCGAGGTAGGAAATAAAAAGAAAAGAATTGAAAAACACGTTTGAGAAAGAAATTCCATTGCAAATGGTCCTGAGTGACGCTAATGGAAATGAAAAGCGTCGAACCAGTTGGGCTAAACTTAGGAAGCAGGCAAATGTGGCCAGGGGCCTAAGCAATGAGGGCTAGGACAGGCGCAAGCAGCAGCATCTCTGCAGACTCCAGCTTGCCTATACATGCTGGCTTCAACCGTCTAACTCCATCACACACACACACACACACACACACCTACACACACACACACTCACGCACACACAAAGTTTAAGCAGATCTCAAGGCCTCAAGCTATTGGATGTATTTCATTTCTTAAAAGCAGACTATTTATAATAATAATAATAATAATCGAGGGCTGATTGTGTCTATTACTTGCTGCACAAAACTGTTGAAGCTGCCTTGTTTTATACAAAGAAGATTCAGTGTGGTTCTCTTTAACTAGGTGGCCCCTCTGGGCCTCTCCTATTGCCTCAGCAACTCTGTATCAAATACCCAAGGCTACTTTTATTAGTGGGAAAGTGTTCTCCTCACCTACATCCCTAGAGGGATTTGCTCACCTGGCCTCACTCCTTCCCACTGGGTCCGATCTGATAGCAGCACTGCCCTCCCCAAGTGAGAAATCTGAGTGCAGATTCTGCCGGCGAAGGAGCCAGTACATCGGATCGTAGCTTTAGTTAACTCAGCTGATGTGAACTACTGGGTCCTGAGCTCACAAGGGACTTAAGCTAAAGATCAAATCACATAAAAAGGAAAACCAAAATGCAATTCTAACTCCCCAAGAGCCTGTATAGACTAAACACAGAAAGATGAAGTAGTGTAGACTGGAAAAGTAAACTATGTTAGGCTGTCCACAGGATTTAACACTGTTTTATTAGACATCCTGACATGGTGCCTCTGAAAAAAGACGAAGTAAAATATCCAGAATACCTTCCTATTTAATGTTCTATAATAAAAAGAAAAAGCAGATTGTTCTCTTTCGCTTCATCCCCTCTTTTTTGTTGTTAATTAACATGCCATGTTATCCACAAGAAGAATTGATATCATTTGAACAAAAACATTTCTGTATAAACTGCTAAAGACATATTCACATCAGGACACAGGCTGCTTCAAAAATGAAATCAAACTTCTGCGTTTCATCTCAGACAGACTTTGACTTCTAGGTCTCATCTTGGACAGTACTTGACTTCTAGTCTTGAGAGAGGTGTGGGAACTTTGCCTGGAGAATTCTTTCTTTCTTTTTCTGTAAACTTTCCTTTCTTGCTTTAATGTGGGCTTGTTTCTCAATTCTCAGTCTGACAAAGCGATCCATATAGGGCATCGCGAAGAACCGTTTCCTGTTGTATCTTTTATTTAGGTACCAAGGTATAGGCCACTGCTTGAATTTGTGCCAGATAATTCGTCTGAAAACGTCCCTTCTCCAGGCACCAGGTCTTGCTTTCTCCCGACAGGTATGAAGAAGCTGCAGAGCATCCTCCCTCTCCTGGACAGCTTTATCTAAGGCATCCATGGAATCAACAACCTTTTCTAAGTGCTCTGGACTTGGCATTGGCAATCTCTGTCACTTGGCCTCCTGCTCTAGAGTTAGAAGCAGGTTTCTTTCCTTCAGAATGGCATACCAAAGTTTATGTAAGTCTTCATTACTTTTGTTCCTTAGCTGCTGGCAGGTCCATGAAGCTACAAATTTGACCTTTTCTTCCCCCCAGTTCTTTGGGTCATCAAAAAATTCTTCTAGTCCTTTCCTTGACAATGTGATATGAAGTAACCGGAGAAAGGTGTGACATGTTGTGTGTTCTTATGCAACAAATTAAGGGAAAACCTGGGACGAGCAGGCACCTAGGGACTTACTAGAGAACCCTCAGCCTTCAGGAACACAGAGACGTGCAGCCATGTTTCTAAAAAGCTTCGCCCCCTCTTACAATGTTATTGAAGCAGAAGAGTTCATCATCAGGGCCAGAGAGATGGCGAGTAAGCCAGACCCTGACTGCCAAGCCTGGTGACCAGATATCAGTCCCCAGAGCTGCAAGTTGTCCTCTCACCTCCACACTGGTGCCAGGGCACGTGTGTGAGGGTACAGGAGAACACACACACACACACACAAAAGTAAAGGTTAACAGAAAGTCCATCTGATCCAAATGGAAAAAGGAGGATGAAACACCCACTATTTACCGAGTAAGAGAAAGTATGGAAAGAAAAGAACAGCAGAGAACTGAACAAAGAAAAGTCAAAAACAAGACTGAGCAAGGCCAGTGAGAGGGAGTATGATCACCCAGGTCAGATCAGAACTAGGAAAGACAGACTAAGACAGGCATACAGACTATCGCAACTCACTCGCTAGTGTGACCAATGATCAAAACGTTGTCAAGAGAGAAAGAAAAAGCAAACATATGCTCTACAGCTCGAGTGTGGGTGAAGGGGACAAAAACCCACAGAACTTAAATAGCTGAAGTTTGGAAACTAATAGACAATTATCTTCTTTTTTAATTTTTAAAAGTTTGTTATTAATTTTATTGGGCTATACATTTTTCTCTGCTCCCCTCCATGCTTCTCCCCTCCCCTTCAACCTTCCCCCATGATCCCCATGCTCCCAATTTGCTCAGGAGATCTTGCGTTTTTCTACTTCCCATGTCAATTAGATCTATGTAAGTCTCTCTTAGTGTCCTCATTGTTATCAACATTCTCTGGGATTATGATTCGTAGGCTGGTTTTCTTTGATTATGTTTAAAAACCACTTATGAGTGAGTACATATGATAACTGTCTTTCTGGGTCTGGGTTACCTCACTCCATATGATGCTTTCTAGCTCCATCCATTTGCTAATAGGCAATATCTAAGTCTCAGGATGAAAACAGGAGGCAGGAGAAAAAAATAACCTAACTGCAAAGAATGAGACATTGAAAACTGGTGGGAACTGTATAGAAAGAAGAGACGTTTAAAATATTTAAACAGAAGTGGAACATGACTGCATTGTTTTCATTTTGAGATAAGATTTCCTGTAGCCCAAGCTGGCCTAGACAGACAAGGATGACCCTAAACTTTTGATTCTCCTGCCTCGACCTCCCCAGTGCTGAGTTAGACCTGTGTGTGCCACTATGTCTGGTTTTATGCCAGTGTGGGGACCAATCTCAGAGCCTCCTGCATCCTACGCAAGCACTCTACCAAGCAAGCTACAACATGGTTTTTCTTTAAGCCTTATTTTTATTATGTGTTTATTTCTGTATATATGTGTGTATTATATTACATGTATTGTATGTGCCATATTATATATTTATCTCTGTATCCGTACTAATGCCACCTGTGTGCAGATGTCCACCAAGGTCAGGAGAGGGCAACAGATCTTCTGGAATTGGAGTTCCAGAAGCCTGTGAGTCACCTACCGTAGCGTTGGACCCTGAACCCAGGTCCTCTGGAAGAGCAGCAAGTGCTCGTAACGATGTTTTTTTAATGTCATAAAATGAACAGAAACGGTTTCTTGCCTCAGTATAAACTGCAGTTTCTGGCTAATTTCCAAGGCCAGAAGAAGAATAGCTGGATGACTTTTAATTAATTTCAGTATCAAAATTAATTATTAAATGGGAGCTTTATTAGAGGCATGAATCTGAGTGCTAGGAGTACTTGATTCTTCAATATCATACATTAGAGATAACATAATTTCAGATATATTTGTAAAATGTAAATAAACTCATATGCTAAAGCTTTCTGATTAGATTCTCAAACAAATAATTAACTTTCTAAATAATCCCTGTGTGTACACAGCACTTGATAAATACAACAGCACATCCCTTGCTAAGCTACTAAGCCTAGAAAAGTGAGATCCTCTTGATATTTAAATTCTGGGGCAGCACTCTGAGAACTCAAGAGAGATGCAGTTCTAGGTGGAAACTGTTACCTCTAATTATCCTTTTAGGACATTCAACTACTCTGTCTGAAGCCCCTTCTGTCTTCCCCAGCCCTCATGCCTACTGAGCATCCCTTTTCCAAAGTGCTGTCTCCTGTGGCAACTCTGATGCAGGTCCCTGCTAACCTCCTCTCTGACTATTTCCTACCCTTTAAACTCTGGCTCGAAATCTTTATTTCATGACATCTCCATTTGCCATTAAACACTCATTTCCACCATCTTTTCTTATCTTTCTCTCTTTGCCAAGAAAAAAAAGGGGGGGGGAATAATAATCATTGCCTTTACAGAAATTTCTTTCACTTTATATGAGTGTTTTCCCCACATGTATGCACGTGCACCATGTGCACGCCTGGTGTCTGTGGAGCCCAGAACACAGTGCTGGGTCCCTGGATCCCTTAGAACTGATGTTATAGATTGTGTGCCGCCACCACATGGGTGCTGGGAATTGAACCCAGATCCCGTGGAAGAGCAACCATTTTCTTAACCACTGAGCCATCTCTCCAGCCCCCAGAAATTTCATAATATTATTTAAGGTACTGAGAATTCAAATACTAGCTACATGATATATTTTTTTTTAAAAAAAAAAAAAGGTAAGTTATAATATCTGAGGCTAGAACAAGGGGCGGGGTACATTCTAGTTTCTTAGCTTTTCTAGCCTAACTTTTTAAGTGGGGTAGTGTCAACAAGTCACTCAATGTCTGCCCATGCAAGGCAAGATACTGGATGTCTAAAGGAAAAATGCAGGCAGGAAAGTTTTTCCCTGCCTCCTAATACCTGATGTGTCACTGAGCCCCACCCCTGCCAGATGCTCACACCGCCTGAGTCATAGCTTTTCTATGGTTAGAAGCACAAACACTTACTTCATTTATTTTTAGAATGGTATCGGCGCTCATAACGATGCTCTGTGCCAGTCTGTTTTCCAGCCAGGCCTTGATCACTACAGAATCTGAGCCAAAGATGGAAAATGATGAAACTGCCAAGGTTGAGACGGGAGGCAGGTGGTTCCGAAAACAGAGGCTTCGGGATTAGTCACAACTCCGTAGAAGAATGAGTTTACCATCATTACCATTTAAGGCACACGATTATAATATTCCTTAATTACCTCATATGCTGACCAAGCAATGAAAGAATTAAGATAGCACCTACAAGAGGCTTATATACTGCACATATTTTCCCCCCATATGAACAATATCTGAAAGAATTACTAAAGACTCATGAGGGCCCCAAACTTGTGAACAGAGAAGATAACGATGCCTCAGCAAATGCTGGAAATTTTTCAACCAACCCTGTATGAAACAGTATTCAAAAATCATCATCTCTGATCAATGACAAGTCAATCCATTTCTCAAATGTTGCACAACTGACTGTAATAAGTTATATGTCTGCACTGGTCACCTTCATGCAGATGGCCAGATAGCCAAAGACTGTGTTGATTTCCAATTGGAAACCCTGACACCAGAGAGAATGGCGCTGCCTAGACAAGGCAGTCCTTGTCACCTTCCACGCTCACCTAACCATGGACCATATTCCAAAACACGGGAGACAGGCAAGGGGGGGTGAGTGTGACCAGGATGGATTATGCATATGCATGCATGAAACTGCCAAAGAATAAATCTAAGAAGAAAGTTTGTTTTTAAAAAAGATATTAAGCCCCTGGAATATGCAAGATGATAAAAGTGTATAAAAAGACAAAAATTAGACAAATTGGAAGGGCAAATCTTAAGTTACGATTTGAAATGTAGAGGTAAAGTGGAAACCGAGTGACAGAAAATGATGTCACGGAAGAGAAACCTTTGGAGTACTGTGTGGCTGGAATGCCAGGTTGACAGGTGCTCTCTAATCTGCAGACAATGAGAGGGAAGCCCCAGGAGAGAGCCTGCACTCAGTTTACATCATAAAGAATATTCTCATTTGCCAACTAATGTCTGTCACCACTGGGGACAAACAGTTGCCAGTATACTGTCTTACGCCTATCATAGAGTCAAGTATCTCTTGTTGCTCTCCTTCATCTCACTGTGACCTTCCAGGACACGTTTTTGACAAGCATGACTCATAAAGCACCAAGAACTTTATCTGGCGGCGGTGTTAAATAGCGCTAAGTGAATTTAAGTTTAAAGTCTTGATGGCTTCTTTCTTTAGAGGTGGACGGAAGGTACAGTCTTTAGAACCCAAGGTGGACCCACTTATCAAGGGAAACTTCCTGGGGAGATTTTAAGTTTTGAGAGTTTCTGTTGTGTTTTGTTTTACAATGAATTCAAGTGACTTTGTAAATGTATAGCTATACTGATCATTTCTTCTTTCATCAGTTTTGTTCAATTGTGTCTATAAAGAAATGTGGGGGCTGGGAAAATGGTTCAGTTGGTAATGTACCTGCTTAATAGCTCAATTGGTCACATACCTGCAAGCAAGGACAATGACCTGAGTTCAGATCCCCAGAACCCAAGAAAAAAGACTACAGTAGATATAAGCACCGGGGTGGAGATAGCAGAAATAAGCAGATTTCTGAAGCTCGCTGGTCAGCTGCCTTAGCAAAACTGACTAGCTTCTGGCTCAGTAAGAGTCTCTGCCTCAAAAATCAAAGGTGGCAAGTACTGGGAGAAGGACACTCAATGTGGACGTCAAGCCTCCAAACGCATGCAGTACACAACCTTA